TCCCAGGTAGGGGAGGTGAGGTTCGGCCTTGAGCAAAGCTCTCGGTAACTGTCTGCAAGGACGTGGAGCTGGGACACCGCAGCTTCCCTGGGACGGCACTGCTGCAAGAGCAGATCCTGACGCCTGTGGCTTCACTCACCTCCTGGTTTGTGAGAGCTGTTCCCGTATGGAACATCTGCTTTTCCCCCCAAGTCTTTCTTGCTGATGACCAGAGCCAAGATCCAAATGCATGCGTGATACTCCAGAGATCTCCCCAGTGACCTGTGAGCAACTTCAGGCAATAAACTGCTGTAAGGCAGAAAAGCTTTATTTAGCTCATTTCCCTCAGTCTTAAACACAGAGAAATGTTGTGTTCTGTTTAGCCTTGCCCATGAAAACTTGAGGTCCTCTTGGATTCCCTCCCTGCATGCTCTTTTGGTACAAAATGTTATGACTGTGATAAAAGCCAAGGAGGCTCTAAGACATGGATGTGTAGGAGAAGGCGGTGGCCACAGCAGCATTCTTTGGAGCGGAACATCCCCAAGTGTCAACAACCACCGCCACTGACCAAAGATGGTTGGGTTTCTTCAATCACTTGAATTTTTTTCTTCTCGTCACTGGCAGGCTCTGTGCAGCTGTAGGAGGAGTTTGTGGTCACCTCCCCCTTTGAGACGCTGCGGCCAGATTCCCCCACCGAGGTGAGCCCCTTAATTCTCCTGGGAAAATATCAAACCCAGTCCAGGGCATGTTATACTGGTGGCCCGAGGCCACGAAGACCTTCTGCCCCATGGTTCTGTTTCCCAGCCTCCCCAGGCATCAGAAGGGTGCTGGGTGCTGGGTCTTTTGCATGGTGATGGTGTCTGTGCAAGGTCTTCTCATGGTGACCCCAGAAGTTGTGCTTTGGAAGGGTTTGTGTGTGCCACATGGACACAGTGAGGTCCTTGTCCTCTAAACTTGGTGGGAAGGAGCTTGCCCAGAAACCATCTGCTGAACTTGCAGCTGAGCCCCATAGCTGCGCGTGGGCCTGGCCGGGTCCCTGGTGTGCGGCAGGAGCTGTGGGAGGGCTGGGATGAACTCTCCCTCCCAGGCGTTGCTGCATACTTGGCTCCGGCTCTCTGATGCTGCCCTGCTCCTTCCCTTCCGTGCGTGAAACCTTCAGTGCTGGTGGCTGTGGGTGCTCTGGGGACACAGCCCGGGGCTCGGATTCTGCTTTCCGCTTGCCTCCAAACTCCCTTTCCCACATCCATCTCTAATAAGGCCAAAAAAGGAGCAGAATGGCAGTCTGCCTCCATTCCTGCAGTCCTGGGCGGGATGGGAGGGGGGTCCTCCCGCAGCTTCCTGGTGCCTCTGGCCGGTAGTGTGGCTCCCTGGCATCCCTCAGCAGCGGGCGCGGAGCTGAGCAATGCCACGTCCCAAGGGCATCCTGAGCAGGGCTGTGCTGGAGGAAAGGGATGGTTTAACAACAAATTAGGCAGGGAAGATGAGCTGCTCCCTGCTCACTCCTCCATCGTACGACAGCCTGGTCCATGTGTCCCGCTGGCTCCGGAGATGGGATGTCCACTCCTGGCCAGTCCTGGTGCTGGGAGAGGTACCTGGCAGATGGCAAAGCTTTACAGGTGGAAGGATGCCCTGGCTGCAGCGCTGCCCTGCAGCCTCCAGTGCCAGTGTGGGATGCTGCAAGGCATCACCCATGCTGGCCCTCATGCCAGCCTGGGAGAGGGGATGGGAACGGCTGCCTGTGCTGGACTACAGCCCCTGTGGGGCTGTAACGTGTCAAGGTGTGGCTGGCCGTGCATTGTGGAGAGCCCATGCTTGCCCGTTTTAGTAAATGCAGTTGTGTTGTGGCTCACTGGTACTAACAACTAATTTTGGGAAGAGCCATTGGGCAGAGATTTAACCACAGTCCCTCCGAGGGGTCGTCATTCACGTGGCAGGGGTGTCCTCTGGGACAACCCAGGCTGTTGCACATCATGCATCTCAGCATCTCGCTGCTGGGGAAGAGGAGCTTACTGTGAGCAGGAGATGATGTCCCTCTCTGGCTGTGCTGGAGACTGCAGGGCAGCCCCATGCCGTGCTGGAGCCTCATCAGCACTTTTAGAGGTGGCTCCTGCAGTTGCATGGCCAGCTTTGGAGGAGCCACCCTTGGGAAACCCTTAGCAGCATATCCCAGGTGATTGTAGCTTCTGAATACACGGGAACACCCTGGGGCCAGGCTGCTGCCACTGCAAGGGGAGCTGCCCCGTCCCCTCCCTGCCCGGGCACCCCTCCTTCGTGCCAGCCACACCTGCCACAACCCCACTCAGCCCGCTGGCCCCACAGCAGCTCCCCGCTGTGTTATTTTTCAGCTGGGGTAGTGAGCTGGAGAAGATGCGGGGTAGGGAAGCAGGCAGGAGGGAGCAGGCGGGCCCCGGCAGCACTGGGATGTCCCTTTGGCTTAGCCCACCCTCCCCAGCATGGTCAGGAAGCAGCACCAGGATGGAGTTGTTCGTTTGGATTTTACCAAGGAGGAAACACATGGCAGTTTATTTTTCTGCTAACTGTGGGTCTTTGCTCTTTGTCTTTAAAACTAAGCTATTTTCTTTACTACCTTATGAACTTTTTAAGCCAGCCCCATGGCCCCTTGGGCCTGACTCTCAGGTGGGGAAGGCACAAACCTGGTGGTGCAGGAGGCAAGGAGATCATCTCGGCAGGAGCGGTGGCAGAAGGTCAAGGGAATAAGGGCAGCCGGTGATGGGGCAAGTGTGGTGATCAGATCAGCGCATGGCTTTCACGCCAGGCTAGCTAGGGTCTCATCCCAGCGCTGAGGCAGTGCTGGGATGGGGCTTTCAGCAGGGGGGTGGCAGGAGCAGGACCAGTCTCTGTGGGTTTCCTTCTTGCTGAGGAGGAAGCTGGAGGTTTGGTGGCTGCACCAATTGGCTCAGCTGAGTCCATCACAGCATGGCTGGGCATTCCCCGAAATAGGGATATAGGCATCGGGTTTTTGGGAATCCCAGAAAGCATGGGCTCGAAGACCAGGGGACCATGGCCATTGAGCTCTTGTGCAGAGCACGAATCGCCCCTGTTGAATCAGACCTCGCTGCAAATCACTCCTGTTCACGCAAGAGGCACCTTTCCCGGCACTGACCCAAAAAAGTCTCTTCCCAAGTCCCAGCCAGCCCAAGGAGGTCTGCTAACGGCAGGAATAGAATGATTAGGAGATGACCAGGCTGAGCTGGACCTTGGGACCAAGCATCTTTCCAGGGCATATTTTGGATCAAACAGCAAAACCATGTGCTGTCAAAATTGCACTTAATCCCCCTAACAAGAACCATGTCTCTCAAGAGGGTGCCAAGCCGTGCTTCTGCTACTGGTCACAGCCGGGGCAGGGTAAATATTTGGATAATATTAATTCATGTGGTGAGAGCAAAACTCCTGCTTATTTCTCTAGTCTTCTGCTAATAATTCTGCTAATAATTTGGTGTGTTTTGAAAGCTGAGCCCAGTGCCGTGGGCCAGCGGCAGAGCTTTTATTGCTGGCTCTGACCCGGCAGAGTGGAGTTGTGATGTTCAGCTGAGCTTCCCCACACTGGTGCCTGGGGGATGGTTACGGGCTGGCAGCGCAGGCTGGTCTCTGGCGGGGCATGCAGAAAGAGGCTGTCCCCTTGCACAGAGCTTTGTGGTGCAGCAGCGCTGGAGGAAGCAGCAGACAAGAGTTGGGCAGTGAGGGGTGGGATCTCCTGCCCACCCAGCTGCGGGCATGGCTGGGCTCTCCAGTCCTGCTGCTCTTCTCAGCTGACTGGTGACAAACATCTCTTTCCTGGTGGGCATGGGAAAGGATCGAGCGTTTAGGGGATGGCGGGGTGATTTGATGACTGCTGATGGTGCTGGGTGCCAGCCCGGGCAGCACGGGGCAGGGCAAGGGAGTGGGCTGAGGGCAGTGCAGCTTCCATCCCAATGCCTGCAGCCCCTGGGGCTCATGGGGGATGAGGAGGGGGAACTGACTCCCAGGGGAGTCAGTCAGTCATGGAGCATGTCCCCGTGCAGATGAAGGGCCCAGCTCCGGTTCAGCGGGTGCTCCCAGGCTCTCTGGTGTGGTGCATTGCTCCCACAGTGGGATGGGAGTGGGTGTTAGGGTGAGGGTGAGAGTCCTCAGCCCCCTCTGAGCTTGGCTGGGCACCGCAGTGCCAGGCAGCCCTGCTGGCGCTGACATTGTAGCTGGGATTTGGCACTTCCCGCAGCCCCCGGGATGGTCTTCCAGCACGGCCCAGCTAGAGGAGCCTGGGGTCCGCAGCAGGTGGAGACCAGGCTGGTGGCCGCTCCAGCCCCTACCTCTGCAACCGCTTGACAGAGGGGTAGCAGGAGGGGAGGGAAAGACCTAGAAAGCAGGTACGGTCTGGGGAGGACTGGCAGGAGCTGTGCAGGTGCAGGAGAAGGCTGTTTGCTCTGCCCTAGCCTGTGCCAGCGCTGGGATCCCACTGGGAGGGATGCTCTCCGAGGCCCTGCGGTCCCCCTGGGTGCATCGGCATTAAGGACCCAGTGGGGAGGCAGATCCTGGAGCAGCAGGCCCAGGGTGGCCAGACCAGCCAGGCACGGTTGTTGGCATGCAGCTCTGTGGTGTTGTTGCTTTGTGCTGCTTCATGCAACATGATGTGGTTCCTTAACTGCTCCGTGTCCCCTGCCAGAGAAGGCAGGAACCCATCTGCCTTCTGCTGCCCACCATGGCACAGGGCACCCAGCAGAGCAGAGCAGAGCAGTAATACTCTGTGCTTCCCCCACGGAATTCATTCATAATCCATTAATTTAACATTGCCTCTGCAGCTGCTCTCCATGCCAGACACTGACCCAGATGGGGAAACTGAGGCATAGGGCTGCCTGTGAGGGAGAAAGAGCTGTGGTAGAAACATGAGGGCTCTGATCAGCATCTCTCCCTTGGGCTCCCCTCGCCCCAGACTTTCTTGCAGGGCTGTGCTGAGCTGGCAGCCGACACTGTCTGTCTGCCAGGCTGTTCTTTGCTGGCATCTTGCTGAGTTAGGCCTGGCAGGATTCATCTGGGAGAGGTCTGAGCATCCTCCTCTCGGGCAACATTGGTGGTTGCTGGGGGTGCCAAGCACCCCATATGGATCTGATTTGGGTCCCCAGGACCCCATGGCGCAAGGTGTCTTAAATACTGACTGCATCCCTCAGCATAGCAGCATGGGGGGATATCACCAAACCCCTGCTCAGAGGCTGTGAAGGGGCTTGGGTACCATCTCGGGGTGGGAATGGGCTCTCTGCTCCAGCCAGGCTCTGCTGGGTGCTCGCCAGCATGGGCTGAGGGCAGGACCCCCCCTTTGAAAGACTAAGTTTTCTCCTGCCGTGGTCTTGCCTCAGTCGTGTTTGGGGTCTGCATAGTCCCTTTGCCATTCCCCATGGGACACGCATTGCCCCAGCCGTGTCCCCAGAGGTCTGTCCATCCTACTGCTGCCCCTCTCTTTGCCCTGCCAGGCTGTTCCCTTCTCCTCGCATTCATTACCTGTAACAACAGCACTAGTCCTCAGCAGCCCGCAGCCCTGGTGTTGCTTGACCGCTGTCCCCTGCCCCGCAGGGGCTCTGCAGCCCGTCGGAGGCCCACGAGCCCTCTCTCCCCTCCACTTCGGGGCCCTTCCTAGTGGGCACAGCGTTGGGTGCACCCAGGCACAGTGGGCGGGAGGGAGGCAGTGAGCGGCCTTTGGCCTGGCTGGACCCAGCTGTGGTGGGAGGTGGGATGGATGGAGGGGGAAGGGAGGCAGTGGTATGTGAGGAATGTGCCCGGAGCAGATAACCCCTTCCCGCTGGGTGCTGGGTGCTGTGCCGAGCCCACCTCCTGGGGACGTGGCTGGGGGCTGCTTTTGCGCGAAATTGAGGATGGCAGGGAGACCCATCGCCCCGGGAGCTGGTCTGGGAGGGGCTGGGGAGAGTCCTGCCAGAGCAGGAGGGGAGCCGGGGGCGGGGGAGCATGGCTAAGCTCTGCCCAAAATGCTGAGGCACCCATCCCCATGGCCCCCTCGGGACTGACAGCAGTGGGGGGATGCAGGGTGCTGGGCTTGGCATCTTTCCCTGTGCCTGGGATGCAAAGGGGACAGGCAGCAAGCAGGTTTGGGAGTTTGGGAGCTGAGGGTGCAGGCAGGGAGCCCTGAGGGAGGGGTGCCAGTGGGCGCTGCCTGCTTTTGTGACTTCCCAGGGGACTCACTAGAGCCTGAGTCTCGCCTGTCCCCATGTCAGACCCTGTGACCGCCCTATCTCACTGTGGCCAAACTGTGTGACAGCCAGGGAAACTGAGGCACGGGACTGGAGGTGCTAGGAATTGTGTGTCCCTGCTTCTGCTCCATCCCCCCACACTCTGCCTGCCCCAGCCCTCCTGACACTCCTGCCTGCTGCCCTGCCCCTAGGTACCACCTCAGCCGCCAAGATGTCCAGCAAACGTGCCAAAGCCAAGACCACCAAGAAGCGTCCCCAGCGCGCCACCTCCAACGTCTTCGCCATGTTCGACCAGTCGCAGATCCAGGAGTTCAAGGAAGCCTTCAACATGATCGACCAGAACCGCGATGGCTTCATTGACAAGGAGGATCTGCACGACATGCTGGCTTCCCTTGGTGAGGAGATCCTTCCCTCGTGCCTCCACATGTCCCCTCAGCCCGTCTGTCCTCAACGCCTCCTCGGCAAATGGAGAGAGGTGCTGGGTGACCTAGTGCCTCACGCCCAGCATTGAAGACCTGCTTTGGTGGGATGCTGTTGAGGCACAGCCCTCCTGCTTTGGACCAGCCTGATGCTGGCTGCAAAATCGGGGGTGGGGTGGTGGTGGTGCATTTCTCTGCTGGCACCAGTTGACTGTAGAAAGCGTGTTTGTGGAGGCACCCAAGGGCAGCACTTGGTGTGTTGCTCTTACAGCCGTGCTTACTAGAAGGGAAGAGACCCTTCAGGTTGGAGAAGCTGTGCCCTAGGAGCAGCCACCAGCCACAGCCATTGAGTATTTGCGTAGTCTCATCCCAGAATATCACCGGGGGTCATCCTCTGCGGGACAAAGCCCTTCCATTGCTCTCAGCCTGGGTGACAGAAGAGGCTGGTCCCTGTGCTGGCATGATACCTTGGCCAGTTGAGACTTGCAGGTCTGGCCGCGCTCCCCATCCAGAGCCCCTTCTCCTTTGCGGCAGGCCACAGCTCCCACCTCCCGCTCCCTGCGGTACCTCCACGGCGCTTTGGGAGGTCTGTCAATGATTGACCTGGCAGCCAAACCTGTTCTGGAGGTCCTGCCTGGCCATGGGAGGGACTTCCCTCCTCCCAGTGAGCCATAGCTCTGGGAGCAGAGAGGGGCCGGGCGCTGGGGGCACATGGACCTCAGAGAGGAGGTGAAACCATCCCTGGGGCATCCGTGGTAGCAGCAGTGCTAGGGGACATCAGCAGCATGAGGCTGGTGTGGGGACAATGCTGCCCTTCTCAGGTGGTGCTGGGTGTCGACTGCCAGGGGAATGGGGAGAAGCCGTGGGTTTAGTTCCCAGTAACCCCCAGATGAATTCCTGCATCTTCCTTGAGGCTGAGCCTGGCAGAGCTTGGTTTCAGGTGGCCTCTAGCATGGATTAAAGCATGGGGAGAGATGCTCCGGGGGGAGCACTGGGCACTGCGGAAAACCTTTTCACTTGTTTGTGGGGTGGGTGAACATGCACCAGCAAATTTGTTTGCAGTAAAAAAAAAAAAACAGCGGGCTGAGTGCATGGGCTGGCCTTGGGGATGGGTGCTGGGGGGAAGAACAGGGCCCTGCGCCCACACCCCTGCCTGTATCTGGCAGGGAAGAACCCCACCGACGAGTACCTGAAAAAAAGGCATGATGAGTGAGGCACCAGGGCCCATCAACTTCACCATGTTCCTCACCATGTTCGGGGAGAAGCTGAATGGCACCGATCCAGAGGACGTCATCCGCAACGCCTTCGCCTGCTTTGATGAGGAGGCATCAGGTATGGGCACTGCCGGCACAGCCCCACGCTGCCTGCCTGGGTGCTTTGCCCTGCGGGCACGCAGCCAGGATGAGAGCTGGAGCCAAAGCCTTGGGGACAGTCCCCAAGCAGCTCCAGAGCTGGACAGGGCTGTCTTCAGGAGAGGCAGGGAAGGTCACTCCCACAGTGTCCCCTGCTAATGCCAGCCCCTGCCATCCCCGCAGGCTTCATTCACGAGGACCATCTGCGTGAGCTGCTGACCACCATGGGAGACAGGTTCACTGATGAGGAGGTGGATGAGATGTACCGGGAGGCGCCCATTGACAAGAAGGGCAACTTCAATTACGTGGAGTTCACTCGCATCCTGAAGCACGGGGCCAAGGACAAGGACGATTAGAGCCCAGGGCCGCTCACCCCCCTCTGCCTCCTCCTGCACATGCCCCCTGCCCCTTGGCCCTCCTTGCTGCCCTTCAGCAGGCTCCCCCCACAGGAAACACCTCCGCAGGACCAGCACCCAGCATCAGGTCACGCTTGGAGGGGAAGGGCTCCCGTCACTGTGCCGCTGTGTGCCCATCCATCAGCCCCAGACCTCCCTTCCCATTGTCTCTCCTGCCCACAGGCTCACCCTACTGGGATGCCCAGCCTGGATGTGACCCCCTCTCCAAGCAGCCGTTGACCCCCTTGAAGCCACCGTGCCACTGGTCCCTGGGGCCGGGGTGAGCATCCCAGGTGAGCACTGGCCTGTGGGGATTTTGCCTGGCTTGAGCCTGAGCGATCCCTGCCTTGGGCTGTAGCACAGAGAGAAAACATCTCTCCCCTCTCCTCCTGCACTCCCTTTGTTCATGAAAGAAACCCCACTTTGTTTCCTCCTCCCTGGCTGTTTTATGGCTTTAGAGCCTGAGATCTAAGGGATTCAGGAAGCCAAAGCGGCATATAAAACCCAATGGGTGTGATACGGAGATGTGCTGTGCGTGGCTCCCTTGTGGACCGGCACCGTGCCGTGTCGCGCTGCTCACCTGCCTCGCGGGTTTGGGAGGGCAGGTTTGGACACCACATCTCCCCACCTCACTGCCATTGCCAGCCAGGGCCCCTTCCAGTGGGGCAGCCTGTTTTGGAAGCCAAATCACTCCCAACCTCTGTAAAATCAGCTTGAGCATCATTTTCCACCTTTGCTGATGGGATGAGGATCGCTCTGCTCGGCCCCCATGTCAGGGCAGGCAGGGAAGCGGGCTGAGATACACTTGGCAAGGTGCCGGCCAGACCCCCACATCAGCTGGTCCAGGGTCCGTGGGGCTCAGTCACCCTTCTGCATTGCCGTGAGTGGGCAGGGGTGGGGGTAAGAGATGAGGAGGGTAAGAAATGGGGAGGGGGGGTTGTCTCCTTGGTTTGGTTATTTATCACCACCCTGACAAGAGTCTGGGAGCATGGGGGGCTCCTGCCTTGCAAAACCACTGTCTTAAGTGCTGCTTGAAGTCAGCCCATCGCCCTGCCCTGGAAGGATGAATTTCCTGCATTTCTTTCTTTAAAATGGGGGAAAATGTGACAACAAACCCACAGAACCTGGCGAGGGCACAGTGCATGCTGGAGATGCTTGCAGTGCACTGAGAAAGCCTGGACGGGGTCTGCGGGAGCTCCGTGGGCACATGCTGCTGGGATCGGAGGGGTCAGGAGGCCCATCCAAAACTGCAATGCCCCAGGCGATGCTCTCACCTGGGAGAGGACTCATGGTTGAAAAGCTTCTCCTTGGTTCTTGGTGCTTCTATTTCCCAGGCACCGCCAACACAAGGAAAGATGAACTACATTATCAGGGACACAGAGATGTGAAAGGCTGAATGCGTGCTCTCCTGGGCAGCTCCCCAGGGTCATGGCTTGTGCTCGGCAGCAACAGCCCCAAACCAGCCCACCTCCAGGCTTGCAGATGCCAAGCTCCTTCCCTAATTCCCTGCTGTAGCAGGGAAAAACCTACAGTCTCCCACTTCCAGAGCAGAGTCCCAGACCTGAAGACTGCTGGAGGGCAGGGTGCTTTTTTAAAAGGCCCCTTTCACTGGGACACATACCAAAGTGACCATCTCACTGACATCACTTTGGGACAGATGGGCTAAAGCTGGAGATAAACCGAGTGGAGTGAGAAAGGGCCTCGAGCTTGTGCAAGGTCTCTGCCACGCTGCGGGCAAACTGTCTTCTGGAGGCAGCTGCATCCAGGAGCAATGTTCAGCCTGACTGACCCTGAAGGATCAGCTTGTGTGACCAGCCCAGGTTCTCCCAGTCTCGGGAGTGGGATGGACTTGGCGTCTGGCCACCACCAGCTGCGGGCACTGCTGGCCCCCCGGCACAGAGCTGCCAGAAGCTCTGGTGTGGGGCTTTCAGAAGCGCTGTCTCAAGCAGCTACTAAAGGTCCTGTGTCTGAGGTGCCCCCTTCACTGGCTGTGGTTGCACCGCAGGACTCTCAGGAGAGGGCATCCTTCAACCCTAATGCCAGCAAAGTAGAGGAATTTTGTTAGTGGACACTGGGGTGCATATGGGAAGAGTAAATATGGCCCTTGCAAAAAGGAGGTCCTGCCTCCCCACCTCCTGGAGCTCTTTGCAGGTGGATCAAGAAGTTATTTGGGTAACAAAAGTGGGGCTGTCTTGCAGGACTTCAAGGGCTGAACGAAAAGCACCAAAATGCAGGTGTGGTTGTAGGTGGGTTGATAGAAAGTGAAGCACATGGGGAAGATCAACCCTGACTTCATGGGTGAGACAACAGGCTGCAGGTGCCCTGAGAGAGCCCCAAGGAAAGGTCAGAGCTCAGCAACGGTCAAAAACCAAGAAAAAATGGAGAAAGAAAATCACATACTAGGAATTAGTAAGGAAAGAAAGGAGATTAAAAGAGAGACCACTGTTTAGCCATTGCGTAGGTCCTTTTATTGCCCACACCTTGAATATTATGAAGAGGTAGAGCCAAATTGGAAGCGTCCTGAGAAGGGCAACTGGGAGAGTTGGCAGCATGGACCAGCCTCCACCCAAGGAGGGCCAGGGCAGGCTGAACTCTCTGGCTTGGCAAGGAGATGTGGGAGCGGGGTGGCAGCGTGGGGACGGTGCTGCTTCCCACTCCGCCTCGGACTGCGCATGGGCATCACCAGACATGCAGGAGCGACGTCTAGCTCAGGGTGTCTGTGGCTGGGAGCACCTCTCCCACGATCTCTGTTCTCGCCCTCTTTCAGCAGCTGCTTCTAGCCACGCTGGGAGACAGGACATGGGAGACATGCCAGTTTGTCCAGCAATGCTCAGAGCCCTTTCTACGCTTTGTTATTTTTTCTCAGTCCTGGTACTAACTGAGCCCCTTCCCCTGGTTTTGCTCAGCTGTTGGCTTCCTGGCTTTTCCAGTGGTGCAGAGGCCGGAGGGCAGCCTTTCAATCACATCAGCTCCCATTGTCCATCAACTAATGCTCTTGGGAGGCCTCTGGTGCCACCAACACAAGCAGATGGGGCAGTTCTGTGCTGTCAACTGTGCGTCCCCCCAAAACACTTCATCCACTTTGGTCAATCACTTCATCCAAAGAGGGAGAAAGAAATGTCAGCAAACCTCCAAACTATTTGGGCCCATGTGAACCCCATGAAGTTCAACCAGGCCAAGTGCAAGGTCCTGCGTCTTGGTTGTGGCAATCCCCCGTACCGGCACAGATAGGGGTGGATGGGTTGAGAACAGCCCCGCAGAGAAGGACCTGGGGATACTAGTGGATGAAAAATTGTGTATGAGTGGGCAAAGTGGACAGGAGCCGGCAATCTGCCCTCACAGCCTAGAAAGCCAACTGTGTCCTGGGCGGCGTCACAAAAACCTGGCCAGCAGGTCAACCTGACCTGACTCAGTCATTTCAAAGCTATTAAATAGCACCAAAATAAAACTAGACATTTAATTTCAGAAGTGTTTGCTTGGGGCAGCAGGGCACCAAGTTAAGAAAATAACCATCCTTTGGATCAATCTAAAAGAGCTGCTCACAGGGGAAAAGTGTTTCCTGATGTTCAGAGGGACCCTCCTGTGTGTCAGTCTGTGCCCACGGCCCCTGATCCTGTCCCCAGGCACCACTGAGAAGAGCCTGGCTCCGTCACCCTCCGCACCCCCCCTCCAGGTATTTATACACACGGCTGAGATCCCCCTGAGCCTGCGCTGCTACAGCCCCGGCTCTCTCAGCCTCTCCTCGGAGCAGCAATGCTCCAGTCCCCTCATCACCTTCATGGCCCTTTGCTGGACTCTCTCCAGTATGTCCCTGTCTCTCTTGTATTGGGGAGCCCAGCAATGGACCCAGCCCTCCAGGGGCAGCCTCACGGGTGCTGAGCAGAGAGGAAGGGTCACCTCCCTCCACCTGCTGTGACACTCCTCCCAATGCAGCCCAGGGCACCGTTCGCCTTCTTTTGTCGCAAGGGCACATTGCTGGTTCGCGGTCAATGTGGTGTCCACCAGGACCCCCAGGACCTCTCCTGCCAAGCTTCAGCTTTCCACCTGGGTGGCTCCCAGCACATCCTGGTGCCTGAGGTTGTTCGTCCCCAGGTGCAGGACTTTGCACTTCTCCTCGTTGAACTTCATGAGGTTTCTCTTGACCCATTTCTTCAGCTCTTGCTCCTGCTTTTAAATGCAGCCCAGCCAGGGGCCCAGGAACCACCCTGGGTGCTCTGGGCAGCAGCTCCTGTTGTCTCAGCTCTCCCCATGGGAATTATTCCCTCCTTTAGCCTGAACAAGAGCTGTCTATGCAGGCCAGGGAGAATTTCTCCAAACCCTGACCCAAGAATGTTGATCTCCAGTGCTGTGAGCCCCATCCTAATGTCCCCAGAGCACCGCGGCTCCTCTTTCCATGTCCAGTGATGCAGGTTATGGGAATAGCAGAGAGGCAAAGGATACGGCAGTACCTGCTCAGAGAGAGTCTGCCCTGCCCTACAGTCTCTGGGAAGGGCAACAGGAATGGCAGAGCTGCCCCATGGGGCAGAGCAGGAGGAGATGGAGGGGCCGTGGTGCCCAAACGTGGGGCTCCGGTGCTGGAGCTGGGCAGAGCCACGCGGCGCTGGAGGTGGTGAAGCAGCTGGTGCTACAGGTGGCTTGGGCTGAGCCCCGCACCAAGTCGGACACTGGGTGTGTTCACAGCATTGCCTGTCCCCAGTCGGTGCCCAGCCGGCACACACTGGCCCTTACCGGCACTCTAACGCAACTGTCGGTCTCCTCACCAAGCAGGCAGCGATCTTTAAAAAACCTGCCTTTAGAGCTCTGCCAGAGGGGGGTGAAGGAGCACACCAGCCCGAGGCTCCCACTCCATCCTGAGCAGGGGAAGGATGAACCCAGCTCTTGTGTCCCTCCTCATTAACACCACCACAGCTCCAGCCCAAGGCCATCGAGCCTTGGCCTTTGCAGAGCAAAGGCTGGCTGCGAATCAGTAAATCAGTCCTGTTAACTCCACTCCCAGGACCAGTCCCACTGGGGGAATCCCAGCCTTCGGGGAGTCCAGTGGCCCTGAGCAGGGAG